ATAAAACCAATACATTTAAAGCCTGAAAACGCTTGTTCTATATCTAAAATATCAGCCAACATCATTTCTGGGGCTATTTTGACGAAAATGAATGAGGAGGGAGGAATTTTTCAGGATTTTGACCAAAATAAAACATACCGACTTTGTAAAAGCAGTATCTTTCTGGCCTAGAGAGTACTGTTTAATATCATGTATATCGACACATCATATCAAAGAACATTTTAAAGAAAAATGAAGGGTATAGCGACTTTGTAAAACAATATCTTTAAAGCCTGGAGCGGAGTGTTTATATCAAGTACATCACTTAATATTATTTGTAAGTAGACGAAAAATGAGGAGACACATGAATTTTGTTAATTTTTTGACTAAAATAATGGGTCAAACCCTGCACAAAATTCCAATATGACGATTTTGCATTTATAGCCTGGAAAGGCTTATTTTACATCCCCAATATCACCATACTTCCTTTCTAGAGCTTTTTTTGACAATGAAGGAAGACTGACCAATTTCTTACTTTTGACGAAAATCATCTGTTGACCCCTTTACAGGAAACCCATTATGGCGACTTTGTAAAAACGATGTCCTGCAGAGGATTGTTTTCATGCCGTTTTCATGCCGTATCATGTACATGTATATCACCAAACATCATTTCAAAGCCTATTTTGTCAAAAAATGAGGAATGAGAAAATTTTCAATTTTTTTTTTTACCATGGCAACTTTGCAAAAACGATATGTTTATGGCCTGAAGAGAATTGTATAGTACTGCCAGGACTAAAAGCGTCAAGCTCTCTTTAATGTGAATAGTTTACTCAATTGAATAGTTTACACAAAAGATAAAATCGTGTAATGCTAAAGAAATGGTGAAGACAACGATAACAGCAAAAAACAACAACAATAGGTCTAATTAGCAAAAAACAACTTTGCACGTGCAACACACTTTTTTGTACTTTTCAGTTTTTTCCTTTGTCTTGCACGACGACAAGTTGAAACTCCCAGAAACTTCCTACATACACGTTGACGTTTTATGGAGGAAATGTTGAATGTGCTCCTGTTCACTCTTTTTTTCACTGCCGCTCATTTTTACCTTGGTGGCTGCTATAGCGTTTCTCATTTTCCAACGCCGCTATAAAATTTTCATATTTTTCTTTTATTTCTTGCTTTAGCTCTTTCTCTGTTATCCACGTTAATGGGGTGGACGGGTAATGTATGTACGTCCGGTACGTAAGTCGCACAGACAATTTTGTCAGAACCAAAATTTTTTGGATGCATAGATAACCAGATTTTGTTATTCAAGGTATTCCGCTTCGCGCGCGCGAGAGCTCCGCTATCAAAAAACATCATTTCAAAGCCTGTCGTGACAAGAAAAAAAAATGAAGAGAAAAACGATATCTTATGGCCTAGAGAGGATTGTTTTGTATTATGCTCATGTATATCACCAAACATCATTTCACAGCTTTTTTTGTCAAAAATGAAGAAGTTACGAACCTGATATAGTTTATCAATAAAGTTAACATCATTTCAAAGCCTATTTTGACACAAGCTCGGTGCATAAATTACCGCATGTTTCGATACTGTTTTGCATATTACGAACGATTTTCAAGACTTTGTATGAGAAATTTAATATAGTTGTTAAACCGTAAAAATATACGGATAAATTAATTGTACTTACGTAAACTTGGGCCTGTTGTTGCTTTTTCTGTGTAACCTGGGCCCGTTGATGGCCATTTTATACGGTTTTGTGACTCTTTGTTTGTTCGTTTATGTTTTCCTACCTTAAGTGAGGCAAGGCAGGTTACTGTGGGCAAACTCGGCTTGAAAGCGCTAACTTCTTAAGGCCAGGTCAGTCTCTTATCTCTTCCCCTCGTCATGGATATTGCGATGTGTTTTTTGTTGGAAAGTCTTTTCAAAGTTTTTAGTTCTGGGCAATCTAACGTGCGCTCAAGAACCTCGATGACTACGTGTTGCGTGGTGAACGCGAACATGGACTCAGGGGATCCCAGTAATCAAAAATTGCATGACAAAACATGGATCTTCCTACCCTCAGATAGTCTACCGATTGCGCGTGAGCGGTGTTTGGAATTATCCAATAGACATTTTATTCGTAATACATGCCATCGTTTTTTTACACGCCTCAGGATTGATGGGATAAAAGTAACGTCATGTGGTCTTTCAGGGGGCAAACAAAAGATAAAACGACGATTTAATAGTCATGCAAAATGTAAGGAAAGGTAAGGTAAAGCCTCAGTTTTTAAAAGATATTCAAAACTATTGAAAACTATTTAAAAGATATTCAAAATTATAAGTTTCTCTTTGCTTAGAGATCAAATTCGAATACAATTTCTTTTTAAAAGATTTAACATTTTTCATCTTTTTTACGTCAAAGGACAGTTCGTTCCAGTTTCTAACAGTTTGCACACTAAAAGTCCTGCCTCCTTCTGTGTTTTTCTTAAAAACAGGACAATGAAAATTTAAATTTGCAAAACGAGTGAAACGGTTATCAATCTCAGAATTTGTCTTTAGTATAGAATTAATATAATCTGGAGTTGTACCCTCTAGTCTCTTAAAGGCTATAGAACCTCCATAAAAAAATAAAATCCAGTTAAGTTCATTAAACATAGTTAATGTGCGTGTTGTTCTTTCGGCGTCCAATACAATGCGTGCAGCTCGCTTCTGCATCTTTCTAGCAATTCCTTACTGCAAGATGACCAGATTGGACTGAGGTACAACATAACTGGATTTATAGCAACAAGCTCAAGATAGAAAGTTAACTTGTGTCTTTTCTTGAGATAAGGACTAATATGCCTTTGACAGTTTCTTACATAATTCTATGTGTGCTTCAAAGCTAAGATCTTTATCAATGATTAAACCCAGTAACTTGTGATGCAATAATTGGTCGATATTTGTGGCGTCAAGGCGAAGTTTTAGGGTTGCTGTTTCCTCACTAAGCTTATGTTGTAATCTTTTTCCTGTAACAAGTAACGCTTTAGTCCTCTCTGTATTGATGTACATTTTGTTTTCGGTTGACCATTTCTCGATATTCTCCAAGTCATTAGAAATTGCCTGAGTTAAAGAAGTGATATTATTCCAGTCTGCACTCAAGAACAGGGTGGTATCGTCAACACATATATCAATGGTGGAGATGTTCAAATGTAAAGGCACATGATTCACAAATAGGAGAACTAAAACTGGACCCAGGATTGATCCCTGCGGTACGCCTTGCCCAACAGGTTTCGGCTCAGAAGTTATATGACATAGTTTCACAAACTGTCGTCGCTCTTCCAGATATATAATTTCTTTAGCAGTGGATTGTGATTGATTACGTCGAACGCTTTAAGGAAATCAACGAATACTAGCCCCGTGACTTTACCATTATCCATTTTAAACAAAATTTCGTCCGTGATTCTGATAAAAGCCGTTTCAGTGGAATGACCAGAACGGAAAACTGATAGTTATTTTATATAGCAAATTGTTCTCTTGAAGATACTTTAATAGCGAGTTTGATGATTTTAGATAGGATTGGCAGCACTGATATGGGGCGATAGTTATTTCTTTCACGTTGCTGAGCACCTTTGTGCAGTGGTGTAACTTAGCTGACTTTCCATTTATCAGGGAACTAAGGGATTTGTTGTAATTGATAAGTTCAGAAGCCTGCAAAGTGGGTGGATAAATGATGGCGCGATAAGGTTGAGGATTTTGGCCCTCAAACCATCATGTCCAGTTGCCTTGCTGACCGAGATCTTATTAATGATATCAGCAGCCTGCTGCGGTTTAATTTCAGGTATGACAAAACTTGTAGTGGCCCTAAGCGCGGATGAAATAAACTTCTTCAGTTTTGAGTCATCAAAGACCGTCACTAGAGTGATCGTCCTTTCCTAGTTGTTCCAGAATCTTAGTGAAAAAGTCGTTTAATTCATTGGCTACGGATGACTCATCATATACTGTCCCGTTTTCCGTCTCTAATTCCACGATTTTAGTCGTTCGTTTGCCTGAGCCACTTAGGTTTTTTAGGGCATTCCAAATACTTTTGGGATTTCCTTCAGTTTCGTCAATTTGTTCACAAAAAAGGATCGTTTCGACCTTTTAATGATATTGGCAGTTCTGCATTTAGCGTTGGAGTAATGATTCCAATCTTCTTGCTTGAGTTTCGACAAAATTAACGTCATTATTGCTTGCTGTGAGGACATCTACGGTCGCTACTGCATCCAAAAAAGTAAAAATGATCACTTCCACCCATAATTTGCCATTATCGTCTTTAATATAAAAATTTCCTCATTTTCTGTTGTCAGGAATATTTAATAACAAACTCGGCCGCGATTTCTTGTATCGGAAAAATTTAACCCTTGTTTACCCCCTGAGAAACCACGTGACATCACTTTTATCACATCAGTCCTTACGCGCGTGCAAAGATGGCGGCCATCGTGAATAAGGCCTGTTGGATGAGCGTATATAAAATGTTCGCGCTTACTACTCAACACGTAGTCATCGAGGTTCCTGAGCCTACGTCAGATTGCCCAGAACCATCAGTTTTCAAAATATTACCCCACAAAAAAAACATTGCAATACCCATGACAAGCGGCAGAAATAAGAGACTGATTTGTTCTTAAGGATTTGACACATGGTGAATCGGTGCGCGGTTCTTTGATACAGGAAAGACTGCACACAGCAACCTGCCTTGCTTCACTTTATGTAGGAGAGCAACAACGAACAAACAACGAGCCTCAAAACTGGACTGTATTGGGAGACGTTTCAAACCATAACATTTAAGGTCATCACTCTTCACAATACGATAAACCTTTCTTGAGTTCGCGATACTGGCCAAATTAAAACACATCCATCAACAATGTAGACTGCTACCCCTTCGACGCAATCCTTCTTAATTTGTAGAAGGAAGTCATGGGTGTCCTTGGTCAAATCTTTATTAATGTAAATATTTTTCCCTCTTAGACCACGATGAGCCGTCATAAATTTGATCTTGGTACCATGGCCTTTTAGTTTAACTGTCATGGCGCTTGGAGGCGGTGGTCTCGGCTACCATCCACAGCCTCCCTTGGCTTTCCCACGCGATTTACTCTATCCAATTCAACCCTGCCAACTTCAATTTCCAACACATTCTCGCATAGGTCTAGGACGTTATCGTAGCAGTCCTCCCCCTCTCAGTCTTCACTCAGCCCTAAGATACGAATGGAATTGCTTCTCGAATATTGTTCGTTGGTGCTGGCTTTGGCCTTCACCTCGTCTAGCTCACGTTTCAGTTTAGCAAGTTCGTCTTTAAGACATGAAATCTCTTTTCGTAAGGGAAGAGCTGCCGCTTGAACTGCAGCGACGGTGGCTTTTGTTAACACTTCTGAATTCCTAATATAGTTGTCTATATGTTTGGCGAAAGAGACCGCGGTGTGTTCGGCCATACTGCTCGAACGAGTCTTGCCCGCCATCTTCAAATAGCGTCAGAACAAGTTTATGGCATAAACTCATCCAGACTGCTCACAAAGTACTCCACTCCACACTCACTGGATGCAAAAAAAAAACTTAAAACGACTTCATAACAAACACGAACAAAAGAAATAAATTGTAAAAAATACACAGATTCTCAGCTCAAATTCTCAGAGCTCACGGGGCTCCAAAACACACGTCCGATCACGACACGCCCCAGATTTAGAACACTTATGGCTAGAGATCCAAGGCCGCAATAAGTGCAGTTATCTATCGATCGGAACTTATTCAGGACTACCAAACGTGGCTCGACACAGTAGAGGGACTATTCAGCAAGCTAGCGACAAAACGACCATCCCAAAGAACATGCACTGGTGATGTTAACGTAGACATGCTCACGCCAAATCGTCCTGGAGTAAAGAAATACACTGATCGTTTATGCTGACGTCGCTTAACCTAGATCAGAACGTACAGCGCCCAACAAGAACCACACCCACATCCAAAACACTCATTGACCACATCATTAGCAACGCACCCAATCGCTTCAGGCATTGTAATGTGCTGCCCTTCCAACAATTAGTCATCACGATGGACCGTATGCTTGTATTAACGTAAGAGTCAATCGTTTTCAACCTCGTATCAAGTTACTCCATGATGAAAAGCGATTCGATGGAACAGTAGTGGTGGTGAGAGTAGTGTTCCTTTTAAAATTGTATACAGTGTTGATGATCCCAACGAGAAAGTAGTCAAGACATTTTAACTCGCTCTTTAAATCTTGTCTGGTGCACGCTCCTCTATAGCTACGTAGAACTAAGATCACGCGACAGCCTGCGCCCTGGCTGAACAAGGAAGATATCAGGAAACTTCAGAAAGAATGGAATGTAAATAGGTATTTAGTGCACAAAACAAACTTAGCAAGTGTTTGGAATAAATTTCGTGAGGTGCGAAACAAGATCAAGACCAAGATCAAGTCAGTTAAATGCCCTTTTTTTTTCAGGAGGACCCTATTATTCAATAAACCCAAAGAACTGTGGAATACCATAGATCGTATTTCACATTCCGGTCCCCAGGCAATCAAGGCGGACCCTGACACGCTGAATAAGCACTTCAGCTCCACATCGCACCACTTACTGGGATCAGAAGCAAATCCATTAGACTTCCTTTTAGATCTCACTAACTCCCTTCCTGGGGAGCGCTCTGCCACACTTTCTCGTTTAACCTACGCCCCGTTGCTTACAGTGAAGTAATGACTGAGATGTTAACTACCATCACGTGAGATCTGACTGTTCAACCGGCGCCGATCAGATTCCTGCAAAGTATCTTAAACTAAGCGCCGACATCATAGCTTCGCCTCTGACGCACATCCTTAACAGTTTTATTTCAATGAGCTCTTTTCCAGAGGCCTGGAAGGTTGCTCTTGTTTCGCCCATCCCGAAAGTAGAGTCTCCTTTTGAATCTGATCACTACCGACCTATCGCTATCCTACCAGCAATATCTAAAGTCTTTGAAAAACTCGTTTTTAAGTCAACTACTTGAATACATCGATCAGAAACAGATGCTTTAGGATACTACATCTGGATACCGTAAGGGTCATTCGACCACTAGCGTTCTTTTATGTATTAGGGACCGCATAATTCGAGCAATGAAGAATGGTGAGTTAACACTCATCACCTTTGCGGACTTTTCTAAGGCATTCGATACGGTCGACTACTCTATTGTCATACGTAAGCTAAATGCAATTTGATTGTCCAAGGCAGGTCTTCTTTGGTTCTCGATAGTTTGCACAAATCAATGACAAGCAATCTAGTCTTGCAAATGTCCTATTTGGAGTTGCACAGGGCTCAATTCTCACAACACTAAATGCAGTTTTTCCTCGAGATCTTAACTTCATTCTAGTTTGTTATCATTCTTATAAAAGCTAGATCCAGTTGATAGGGCATAGAAATTCCCTTTTGAAAGTTTCTGAGATGATTTGGTTCTGTTAGAGGGCGCCTTCCAGTCCCCCCAGATGTCGGGATCCGACAATAGGATCATGTCTCCATTCAGCCCAAAAATAACACAAATAAAAGAGGGCAGACCTGAATTGACATAGAACAACTTGTCACATTTTATTTCGCTTTACTTCCACACAGTTTCTCGTTAACTGACAATTGCAAAGAAATCCCGAGCTAATGCTTGTTCTTTTCATCCTCATCCTCACGGTCAGCAGCACTGAAAAATTAGAGAAGGAAAATGAGGAATTTTTTAACTTTAATTTTTTAACGAACCTACAAGCCAATTTCAGGGTTTTTTTTTTCAGTTTTTAAAATTTTATTTTCATTTATTTAACTAAGCTTGTAATTCGTTTCAATACAAAAACAATCACACATTCATAGTATTTGCTGGGGCCCATATGTAATTCAACCTCCGGTCTCTCATCAGTGTTAAAGTTGTTCTTAACGGCTGCGGCAACTTACGCAAAATTCCTCAGCTTCTGCTTTCCAGATAAACGTATATACGTCTTATCTCGCTTGCTCATTTCGTCTTCATCCCCACGGTCAGCAGCACTGAAAAATTAATAATGAAAATTTTTTTAAACACTTTTTTTAACGAAGCGCGTAATCCGTTTCAATACAAAAACAATCACACATTCATAGTATTTGCTGGGGCCTATGCAATTCAACCTCCGGTCTCTCATCAGTGTTAAGGTTGTTCTTAACGGCTATGGCAACTTACGCAAAATTCCTCAGCTTCTGCTTTCCATATAAACGTATATACGTCTCATCTCGCTTGTTCATTTCATCTTCATCCCCACGGTCAGCAGCACTGAACAATTAATGATGAAAAATAATTTTTTTTAACACTTTTTTTAACGAAGCGTGTAATCCGTTTCAATACAAAAACAATCACACATTCATAGTATTTGCTGGGGCCTATGCAATTCAACCTCCGGTCTCTCATCAGTGTTAAGGTTGTTCTTAACGGCTATGGCAACTTACGCAAAATTCCTCAGCTTCTGCTTTCCATATAAACGTATATACGTCTCATCTCGCTTGTTCATTTCATCTTCATCCCCACGGTCAGCAGCACTGAAAAATTAATGATGAAAAATAATTTTTTTGAACACTTTTTTTAACCAAGCTTGTAATCCGTTTCAATACAAAAACAATCACACATTCATAGTATTTGCTGGGGACTATGCAATTCAACCTCCGGTCTCTCATCATGTTAAGGTTGTTCTTTAACGGCCATGGCAACTTACGCAAAATTCCTCAGCTTCTGCTTTCCATATAAACGTATATACGTCTCATCTCGCTTGCTCATTTCATCTTCATCCCCACGGTCAGCAGCACTGAAAAATTAATGATGAGAAATAATTTTTTAAAACACTTTTTTTAACGAAGCTTATAAGGCCGTTTCCATACAAAAACAATCACTTCATAATATTAGCAGGGGCCTATGCAATTCAACCTTCCGTCTCATGTTAAAGTTGTTCTTTAACGGCTGTGGCAACTTACATATGTACGCTTTGTTTAAACTGAAAAAAGATAAGGTACAGTGTGGTACTGAGTTTTCTGTTCGGAACATATGCTACCTACACCTCGCCCGTAGGTCATGTTCAGTAAAATATGATTTGCCATAAAACTTGGGAGGGGTTCAAAAGGGACAATGCACACGCTGTAAGCTTTACACAACCTTAACAAGCCAAGGGCTTCGTCGCAAAGAGCTCCTGCCGCTTCGCATTTCATCTCAGGCGCTCGGCTTTATGTGTGGACAAAAGTATTACCCAGTGTTCAAGCTTTCGACACGGAACGAAATTTAAAGATGTTCGGCAAAGTGTAAACAGAGCCGAAGATACAATTAGAAAGTTTCGAAACACTTCAGTCGATCAGTAAAAAAATACTCAAATTTTCTTGCTCGGTATTAAAAATCATATCCCCAAAGTTTGCCATGAAAATGGCAATTTTTCCACGAACTGCATGCGCTTGTCTTTCAAACCAAATTTGCTGATTGATGCATGAAATTTAGCATTTAAACGAAAGACGACGGATTGTACCACTACTAGCTGTATACACTCCAATTCCTACATTTTTCGGACCATAAAGTGCCAAAAGTTTTGTTCAGCAGTTTCTTAACAAGCTGCACAAACTTGTACCAACACAGTACTTGTCGCTGAAATACGAAAGTCCTTGTCGACTGTTTTCAATGGCGTCACTTAACGGCTTTCTTTTTTATTGCTAAAAAATAAATGAATTTCGGTAAGGAATAGCCGAAACCTTTTGATCTCACAGTTACACAAGGGGTACGGGTCCGTTTTGGAAAAGTTTGACTTGATACATTCTACGGCTCACATTAAGTTCACGTGTAAAGGGGGCGGGGATAAGGGTAAAGTTATTATAAGCCACAAACCTTTTCCCCTGCACAAAGGACACGAGCAAAATCATTGCAAGAAAAACCAAAGTAAGACGTGACATGGTCAAATCGTCCTGAAAACACATAGATAATAATGTCAGGGAAAAGAAACTTAAAACCCTTCAGATTTGAATGAAAAGAACAAGAAGAAATGAAATCACAGCTCACTTCAACACTCACCTGCCTGTCCCCAGGTAAAGTTTCCGTAAATCTTCACAGATTGCTTTAAATAAGAAGCAAGTTTCTACAGATGAAACCTCTGGTTAATGGCCGCTCTGCTGGTCATATATATCTCAAGCGCAAGGAAGTTCCGCCCGTCAGTCTTAGCTGGAACGATTGATTTATTAGTTGATAGTTGCTTCCGCAATTCATAACGTTCATAAATTCAAAATTGCTCGGTAAATATCATTGTTTGCCGTACTCTCTTGGTATCTTAGTAATCAAGTATAATTATAGATCTTTCCAAAACCTATTTAAAAGTTGTCGTGGAATATGAATAAGTACCTTTAAGGGGGCATCAAGTTGCGTAAAGCCAACTTTTGACTAAAAAAATCAGCAGTAAAAACTCAAGCATAGCAGAAGTCATTGGGATAGGAGAACACTGAGCACC